ATAGGAAAAGTAAAATGACATGTGTAAAATTATAATTTATGCATGACATAAGTAACAGTCGGTTAATAATAATGGGAAGATAATTGTGATAATCAATCAAATGGACTATAATAGCCCTTGGTACATGTATATTTAAAGAAATCAGGCATAAATTTCAAGTGGTCATAGCTCAAGAAAATTTAGTTAAAATGAGCTCAAACTGTCTACACAGTGTAAGGATGTCAATGTGTATCAGAAAATGTAATAAAAATGGGGGGTGATTTTTTAGCCATTTTTTGGAATAAACCATGGGCTATAGTACAGGGTATTTTTCAGATTTTGGCACATTTTTTAAAATGGCCATAACTTGAAAAATTTAAGTCAAAATCAGCTCAAACTTTCTACATAGCATAAGGATATCAATATGTATCAGAAAATGTAATAAAAATTGGGGTGATTTTTTAGCCATTTTTCGGAAAAAACCATGGGCTATAGTACAGGGTACTTTTCAGATTTTGGCACATTTTTTAAAATGGCCATAACTTGAAAAATTTAAGTTGGAATCAGCTCAAACTTTCTACATAGCATAAGGATATCAATATGTATCAGAAAATGTAATAAAAATTGGGGGTGATTTTTTAGCCATTTTTTGGAAAAAACCATGGGCTATAATAGTACAGGGTAATTTTCAGATTTCGGCATATTTTTAAAAATGGCTATAACTTGAAAAATTTAAGTCGGAATCAGCTCAAACTTTCTACATAGCATAAGGACATCAATATGTATCAGAAAATATAATAAAAATTGGGGGTGATTTACAGCCATTTTTTTGGAAAAAAGCATGGGCTATAGTACACAGAGTGATTTTCAGATATTGGCATTAGCATCAGATGCTCATGCATGTACAGTACAGTATTATAATTGTAATTATTTTCCTCAGGACTTAGCTGGTGTCAAAAAGCTTCAGAAGAAGCTTGCCCTGATTGAGACTGACATATCAGTCCATAAGGACCAGATTGATGCTCTTCTCTCTCAAGCCTCACAGTTCATTGATGAAGGACATTTTGATGCCGAGGGAATCAGAAAGAAGAAAGAAGCTCTTGTTGAACGATACGAGAGACTCAGCGTAAGAAATATATTAATAATAAATTAATAATACATGTACATTGCACATGTAGCTACATGTATTTGACTTATAAATATTCTCTAATTCTGTAAAATGAATTTCTACTGCATTTTCATGATTGTTTGTTGGATAGGTTCCTGCTAATGATCAGAGAGAGAGGCTAGAGGCCTCCTGTGAGCTCCAGCAGTTCCTTCGTGATGTTGATGATGAGATTGCTTGGATCAAAGAGAGAGAGTCTATAGCTACTCTACCTAATAGAGGTAACCCTCAAAGAATTTGATTATTATTTGTTTAATTTCATTATTATTGTTGTTGTTATTGTTATATTTATTATTAGTATCATACTATTGATACTATTATGGTATTATGTATATCTCAAAATTTATTATTATTATTATTATTATTATTATTATTATAAAAATAAGGACAGGTTAGAATAAATTAGGTTATGTTAGAGCAGGACAGATTAGGGAATATTATTATTATTATTATTATTATTATTATTATTGTTATTATTATTGTTTTATGTGATTGATACACAACAATACACAAATCTACATTGTATTTTATTAACTCTTTACTGTATAGGGATGAACTTGGCTGGTGTACAAAACCTACAGAAGAAACACAATGCTCTCATGGTAAAGAATGAATTTTGCTACATTTATATTACAAAACTTTTATAACTTTTATTTCTTCTAAAATATTTATTTACAAGACGTTATAAAAATATCTGTAATATTATTATTATTTTTTATTTCTTGTATTAGGCTGAGCTATCAACTCATGATCCTCGTATAAAGGCAGTGAGAGAGAAAGGAGAGGGAATGATAGCAGGGTCCAAGCATCATGCTGAAGATATAGAGTCTAAACTGAGTGAACTGGCTCACCTATGGAACCAAATAAAAGTATGAAGGGAATAGGATCAGATATAAAAGAGAGGGAAACAAGAAACTTGTTCAGACATTTTTTTGCAATCAAATAAAAGACACTGTACACCATTAAAAGGTGTATAGTGATCTCGAGAGGAACCACCCACTTTTTTAATTAAATTAAACGCTTAATTGAAAATAAGCCTTTAGATAACTAATAAAGTACAGTACTCATAATAGTATAGAGATATCTCTGCTATACACTATACATATATTCTCTTTTTTTCTCTCTCTCTTTTTATAGGAAACTGCAGAGTCACGGAAGCAGGTCCTTGAGGATTCCTATGAAGCTCAAAAGTATTTCTCTGATGCCCTGGCAGCCGAGCTATGGATGAAAGACATTGAGCCAGTGGTTGGTAGCTCTGACTATGGGAAAGATGAAGACATGGCTGAAGTAAGGAGAGAGTACATGTACATGTAGACTGTACGAGTACATGTACAATCATGTACATGTGCAAGAGTGGGAGAAAGAGGAAGTATTATACATAATGTACATTGTACTAATCTGTGGGCGACTCTTTTTTATCAAATACAATTTATTTGTCCTCTTACTGTTGTTTTCTTTCTTCTCAATCTCTCTCTCTCCTATTTCCTTTAGGCTTTATTAAAGAAGCATGAGACGGTCTTTGCCGATGTCAAAGGGTTTGGTAGCACCATTGAAGCATTATCAGCACAGAGTGCCAAG